AGCCTCACCCAAGCCTCCGGTGTCATATCAAAGCCAAACAAACTCAAGCCTCCTGGCTACAACTAAAACCTATGGCACCTAGCCACTACACAGTAAGCCGCCTGGCTATAACTTAGCACCATTACTCCAACCTTCAGAGCACTCATGAGCTGTACTGGCCATCAGGCTTCTACCCATCTCTCAGCCAAGGGAGCTCCTGCCTCTCCAGTTGCTGGCAGGGAACTGCCAGCCTGGTCTCAGCCCTGGGCTTTATAAGGGCCAGGCCCTGCCTCCTACAGGCAGCTGGCTCTCCTTAGTTGCCCCGGCAACCCGCAGCTGGGCTCGTTACCCTGGCAACACTCAGCTGGGCTCGTTATGACCTGCCAGGGCTCTGTCTCTCTCCCTGGCAGTTTCTCCTCTCTAGGAGCAGAGCACCGAGGTGCTCTGCGACACTCATTTATTACTTTACAAAAAACCCCAATAAATTTGTAAAAACAGATTAACGACTTGGCATAGCAAAATGTCTAGAATTAGGTGGTTTATATGAAGTGTTAGACCACATTAATGTTTCTGCCATGTATTTTCTTTAGTTTCATGCAGTTTAGGCATACTGATTAGTTACCTGTTGAAGCTATGCCCGTAAGAAGTTTGAATGTAGCATTTAGTTTTAAAACAGATGACATGGAAATAAATGTTAGGCTGTGGCTTCTATCAGGACTGTGCAAACAAATTATATTATACTACTTGTTATGTGACACAAGAAAAAAAACACCTTTGATTTTATAGTAAGTCCTAGTTTTATGGTAATAATTAGTTGGATCAGAAAAGATTACTGATTTAAAGGAATTTTAATGAGATGTTTGGAGTCTGATCCTGCATTTCTTGCAGTCAAAGAAGTTTGAAGTGTAGAATTTAACTAATTCTGGCTTTTGAGTCTCTGCAAATGATTACATACATGTTTAGCTTTAATCATGTGAATAATGCTGTAAAAAGCAAGTGTTAAGCACATGTAGAAATGTTTGCAGAATTGTGTACTAAATCATTATTGAAAGGGGAAAAAAACAGGTTAATTGGTATAAGATTAATTGGTTTAAATCAAAAGAAGAGCCTGTCAGAAGCAAGCAGCCACAAACTATACTAGTGAAAACACTCTCACTTAGAAACTTGATTACAAAGGACCTAATACTACTTCCATTGATTAGGCACACAGTAATTTAAGGGTTATTTATAAACCAAGAGTTTGATTCTTCCCTCACAAGTCATTCCATTGAAGTTGTTGGAGTTGTACTTTAATAAAACTGAGCTAGTGAGAACAAAATCAGACCTCAAATCTTCAAAGGGTAATTGACTTCTAGTTAAGAATATATTGAGAAAATGCATCTTCTAGGCCCCTAACCTGTAACAGGATCCTCACGGGCAGGGATCTATCTGTGAGGTCAACTGGCTGAATCAGTGTCCAGCATTGATTACCCCTTTACATTACTTCAGGTAGAACTCAAATATTGAAAGTTATTATGATTTTAAAGGATTAACTGTGTTATTAGTGTTCTGTTTATTCTTTTAAAGGTTGTAATAATGTCTTTTATAAATAAGAAATGAGGAAAAGATGTATTTTTAGAGTGTTAAGTTCCTTTTGAATATATTTTTTTAAATATTTAATTTTCCCCCCATTTACTCTTCTTTGTTTCCAGAATACCACAGAATTCCTGCCTTAGATGAGGCAAACTGGTTGCTGGGTAACATCAATCAAACTGGCTACTTCAGGGTTAACTATGACATTAGGAATTGGAGGCTGTTAATTAACCAACTGATGAGAAACCACGAGGTAAGCTCTTGGTTTCACCGTTAAAATCTGCTTTTGATGTGTGAGCCTAGGCCGCTTTTATCATCCTAAATGGTTCCATTTTTCTGATTGCTCCTTACAGGTTATCTCAGTCAGTAATCGAGCAGGTTTGATCGATGATGCATTCAATTTAGCCAGGTATGTTTTCCTGTAGATAATGTAAGCTAATATACATTGCTGTAACAGTTCCTGCATTCATTTATGCAATGGATGTGTGTATTTTGAAGTTAAATATTTTAGAGTGACTTTAATTCCTTTCTCCTTTCCTCCCACTCTTTCTTGCTCTCTCTCTAGTACTGAGCATAAGAACCACAGCACTCTGACCATTCTTGATCAATAATTGCCGTAGGGTATTTCCGAGTGTGGAAAAGCTTGATCAATTTTGCAGCAAGTTCAATTTATCACTTTGGAGATAAATAATCTCTTCCCTATTTCTCTAATGAAGTAGCTTTTTAAAAAAAATGACCCTTGTGCTGCATTTAATTTGTGATGGAAAACACCTTCAAGCTTCAGGGTTTGTTTGTTTTTTTTGGGGGTGGGGAGGAAGAGGAGGTTGCTCTGACATGTACTGTTATATCATTTTCCAATATATATATATATATATATATATATATATATATATATATATATATATATATATATATATATATATATATATATATATATATATATATATATATATATATATATATATATATATATATATATATATATATATATATATATATATATATATATATATATATATATATATATATATATATATATATATATATATATATATATATATATATATATATATATATATATATATATATATATATATATATATATATATATATATATATATATATATATATATATATATATATATATATATATATATATATATATATATATATATATATATATATATATATATATATATATATATATATATATATATATATATATATATATATATATATATATATATATATATATATATATATATATATATATATATATATATATATATATATATATATATATATATATATATATATATATATATATTGGAAAATGATATAACAGTACATGTCAGAGCAACCTCCTCTTCCTCCCCACCCCCAAAAAAAACAAACAAACCCTGAAGCTTGAAGGTGTTTTCCATCACAAATTAAATGCAGCACAAGGGTCATTTTTTTTAAAAAGCTACTTCATTAGAGAAATAGGGAAGAGATTATTTATCTCCAAAGTGATAAATTGAACTTGCTGCAAAATTGATCAAGCTTTTCCACACTCCTCTTGCAACTTGAGCAATGCACCCTGCAAAAGCAGCTGCAGAAAGGCGGGAAACTCGTCCCTGCACCGGGGTTTTCCTCTGCAACAGGAAACTCTCCCGTGCAATGAAGCTGCAACTTGGCAGGGATAATTCTGGTGCTGAAGCACACACAAAATCATGCCTTTGGGTCATGACACTGTCATGGAACATTTTTTCATCCATCATAAAGAAATTGTTCTATGTGGCAGTGTTACGACTGTATGAAAGGCTGCAGTCCTACTGAACAGTATCAGAATGTATATAGTATTGTACCACTTTTTTATTGTTTTCATAGCCATGTAATTAGATATTACAGTCTTGGTTAAATAATGACTTCCTCACAACTTCAGGCAATGGAATTTTTCCAATTCTAAGATCAGACTGGACACCTGGAGACAAAGAGTAAAGAGCAGTGTTAGAACTGGAACATCTCAGACTTTGGGATTCTTAAGGTCTTTGAACATTACTGCTCTCAAAATGTTGTTCATGGAGATTATGTGAAAAGAGTAATTGAGATTATTGATAGCTCTATAAATTAACATGTTTATGGGTAGATTTGGGGTTTAATCTTCGGACTGTGCTAGGTGACCATGCGGAGGAGCACTGCCTCAGAGATGAGATGGCCTACAGTCAGGCAGGCACAGTAGGTGCATCTACACATGTAATTAATGCAAAGCAGTAAACTCTGGAGCAGTTTGAGTCAGAGTAAACTACTCCCAGGTGCAGCATCTACACACGTGCCTGGGATGGCAGCAATTTGAGCCAAGGCATAGCAGGCCTGGGCTGGCAGGGGGCATGTGGGGGTCAGCTATAGGCCCAGGTGACGTTGCGGCTGGCAGGGATACGAGGGTGCTGAAAGTCAGCATCTGGATGTGTGTTTAATTGCAGTTAAATACTCCACTGTCAGATAGTACTGTCCCCAACAGTACTAAAGGCAGTGTTAATTAGCTTACAGCAATTTAATACCATCGTATGCGTAGATGGTGATGCTTTCCTGGGCAGCTAATTATTCTACACCAGAGCTAAGCGCATATGTAGGCACATCCACTGTCACCAAAATAGTACAAGTCAGAGTTGCCCAAGCTACGGCTTCTGAAAGAATGGAAGGGGGCAACCTGTTTTCCCTTGCACACTCCTCTCCAGTCTTCTTTTGTCATAAGGAGTGAAACTGTGATTACTCCTTGCATAACAGTGTGCTCTTGTTGCCAAAATAAAAGACAAAAGGATATTGGATTAATAGGAATGTGCTTGCAAGTCAAGGGAAGTGATTCTACTCTATTAGTGATTCTGCTAATGAGTCTGACCTGGTGTACTGTCCAGTATTGAGTACCACACTTCAAAAGAGATGTGGACAAATTAAGAATCCAGTGAAGAGCAGCTAAAACGCTGAGGATGTTTAGGAAATATGATTTATGAAGACAGTTTAAAGAGCTGGGATTATTTAGTCTGGAGAAAAGACTGGTAGGAAAATTTGATAACAGTCTTCTAATACCTGAAGAGTAGTTATAAAGCAAACGGTGATAGATGTTTTTTTGTAGCCACAGGGAACAGTGTAAGGAGTAATCATTTTGATTTGCAACAAGAGGAAATTAATGTTGGATATTACGAAGAACTTTCTGACTATGAGGATGGTCAAGCATCGAAACATATACCTAGAGAAGTTGTGGAATCTCTATCCTTGGAAGTTTAGACAAACACTTCTCTAGGATGTTTTAATCAGGGTGAATGTGCCTTAAGTTGGGGGGGGGGGGTGGAGGGGGTGGACTAGATGGTCTTCTTAAGTCTTTCCAGCTCTTCATTTCTGTCATTCTGTTATTCTAAGGTTCTTTTGAAGTACTGTCCTGCTATAGTTGTGGGGGATGGGTAAGAAATCTGTAACCAATAGTTTATATAGACTGAAATGGGAAGGGCAGCTGTCACTTCACCAGCTAAGTAAGAGAAGAAGGTATGAGAAATGTTGCTTACCCAAGCCAAGAAGAGGCTTTTAGTACCGTGTTTGCAGACTTTTCCCATTCATAACTGTGCAGAACTAGGTACATTGATCATCTGAGGGGCAATCTTAGTCCTATTGAAGTTAGTGGCAAAACTCCAGTAGGATCAAGATTTCACCTGAACATACTGCATAGTCAGCAGAATTCTATATAATGAACTAATATGTTGACTCTTCTTCAAAGTACAACTTCATATATATTTTGTACAGCCTAAATTATAGTTTGGCCAATGCTTTACTTTGCTGATAAGGGGATCTGCTGCCTTTCGGTACGAGTCTCTGGTTCTCTTCAGTTCCCATAATCTAAACAACGTCAACCCAGGTGGGATACAAGTGAAAATCTTGTGCGTTGTAAGAAGCTATATTGTTGATCTGATAGGTAGGTAACGTCTCTCTGAGGCCACATACAGATGTTCATTTGCTACTGGGAGAATCACTGTTCTCCCTGTAGGAACCAAAGATGTAACCAAAGATTCACAGTCTTTCTCCCAGACCAAAAATGATGGCTCTTAGAGAAAAATAAGCCAACTCTAATCAACTCCATTTCTCTCAGGAGAATAAACATTGTAAACTTTTGCCTGACTTAACTTCTCTCAGGGACTAGGACGAGTGGAGCTGTGGGGGAAAAGGCTTCCATGCCTTCCTGACATTGGAGTCACCCAAGTCAATAGAAGGTGCAGGGAGCAGCAGCTCCAGTACCTCCTGTATATTAGGAGAGGAGGGACAAGCGACCATGAGCTGCTTCTCGCTGGCTCTTCGGACACTGGAGTCCCTGGACTAAGAAGTGGGCAGGGAGCTTTGCCCACCACCCTCTCCACTTGACTCCTGGGCAGTGGAGCCAAGTACAGGGAGCATTGCAACCCCCTGTCTGCTTCCCACTCAGTGAGAATGCTTCCTGGCCTTGCCAGCTTTTAAATCATCATCCCCACCACCCAGCTGGGCATCATGGACAGTAAGGGGAGGCTGGCGGAGCTAGGAAGTGGGCTTGAGAAGGTGTTTCCTAAGCCCACTTCCTGGCCCTCCCAGCTTTTAAATTTCCACCTCTGCTACCCAGCTGGGCAGCACGGGTTGCAAGACGAAGCCGGGATTGCATACCAGCAAGCTCAAGAAGGCTTTCCCCTCCTCAGTTTCCAGCTTGCCCAGCTGGCAGTGCACGCAGTGTTTTAAAGCCTGTAGGGCCAGGAACGGGGGCAGGGGAAGCCCTCCCTAGGATAGGGGGCAAAGCACCCACATGCTTCTCACACTGGAGTCCCAGGTGTGCGGAGTGGGCAGGGGGCTTGCTGTGGGGTTCAGTCCACTCAGCTCCTGGTGCCCAGGACCCGAACAGAGGGAGTAGTGCCAACACCTGCCGGCTTTTTACTATAGAGTCCCCAGAGCAAGAAGCAGGTTGGGGGCTTTGCCCCCTCTACTCCAGTCCCTGGGATCTCCCTAGTTTTGGGAAAGTGCAAGGAGCAGGGGTTTGTTGCAGTCTGAACACCTGTACTGCTCCCTCTCCCAGAATCGTTTCTAGTGGTGGAAATTTTCCATCACTAGAAATGAATGTTTGTACACAGCCTGAGTCAGTACTAAGCTAATGGTCCAAGGTATCTTTTTCGTGATACGTAAAGACAAGGTTCTGCTGCTTGCTGTCATTAAAGCTCCCATAGAACTTTTCACAAAATAGGGTTTTTAATGCTAACATCCTGGCTATGATCTAATTTGGGACATTATTTCATTTTGTCTATCTAAAAAAATTGCTGAAATGTCACATAAATAAGGTATTCCTTTATAGTACAGGTTTCCCTCAGTTTATGCTGTACATGCATTCCTGGAAAAAGGTGCGTAACTCGAATTCACATAAAGGGA